AAAAAAAAAAAAAAAAAAAAAAAAACACAATCAACAAAGAAAGAAAGCACTTTGTGTGAAACTCAAGAATTTACAAAAATACATCCAGAAAATTTAAATTATAAATACTGTAAAAATGTACATTCAACAAAAAATGAAAACCCTGATTCAAAAAACTATCTTTGGAGAGACAAAAGAGGTGAGCAATGAAATTTTGAAAATCCTGAAAAATGTATCCAAAAGTTCTAAATTAAAAATTCTTCAAAAATGTACTTTAAACAAAACAAAATAACTAAAACATAGGTGAAAAATTTACCTTCTGATATCTTGTTGCTTGAATCCATTTATTTTTTGAGCCATTTCCCTCGAAAGAGGGTACCGCTTGCCATAATACACTGTACGTCATTTTTTGAGATAACGACGTATGTTACTGCATTAAACCTTCGAAATTTTATGGTTGTTGCATCGTATGCCTCAACATCTTCTTCTTGAGTGCCTAAAATAAAATTAAAATGGTCGTGAAAGTAAAAATGATTTTTTCTCTATGGTAAATGATTTATAGATTACAATGACTACAAAAAAGTTTATTCCTAGTAAGTACACAAATGCAAGAATTTCAGCATGGATTGTGAAGCAGTATACAGTAACAACATCTTACAAGACTCCTTCACAATTGAAGATAATTTCATAGGATTTATATGCTAAGGACCAGTTTAAAGCATAAAATAAAAAGCAATTCACACATATATCTAAAGATTTAAACAACACACTAAATGTCCCTAGATAGAGGTTCTCGTTTTCGGCAACTCTGCCAATCCGAGCTTGGCAACATCTATGTTGATGATGTCTGCTAAAGAAAAAAGTAACAAAACTTCAATGAAGTGGATGAGAACATCATTTTTAACTGAAGCCTTAAGCTGAAATAATTCAACCAACTTAAAAATCTAATTGTACACATAGAAAAAAGAAAAAAATAATAAATTGAAATTGCACAACATACCAATATCAACAGGGGTTTTCATGTGCTTGACAAGAACAACGCTGGTTCCCTTTAGGCTGGTGCTCAGATAAATCAAGAAAGTATGAAAACCAATTACAAAAGAATAGCGTAAATAATATACATGATTACAAGTGCTTGCGATGAGTAGAATATCATTTGACGCTAAATTATCGAAGAGATTTTTCTGCACCATTTGAATCTGTAACTGCTTAATCAAAAGTATAATATGTAAAATCGGTTCCCCATGGCATTAAACAAATCTTCATAATATTCAAGTTAATGTTACAAAAGGGTGACTAAAATAAGTGAAAATAATATTTACAAAAAAGTTATAGTTTTATAGATGTATGAAGGAAATAATTTCTTTGTAAATAATATTTTTAGTACATGTACTGTGTAAATTTTAAATCGATGGTTTAAATAAAACTTATAAAGATTTACTTGTTTTAGCTCTTGACAATGCTACATAAAGTTGATTATGACCGAAAATTGGTTCAGGAAGATACAAACCAACTAAATCAAGTGTTTGTCCTTTTGCTTTATTTATGATCATTGTAAACCATGGCCTAATACGAAATTGAGTTCTTTTGAATGGAATTGAAGTTTGATCACTTTTTAGAGGTACAAAAGGCATTCTCGATAAGAAAACATATTTTTCACAATACTCACCAATTGTAATTTCAACAAGAATTACATTCTTATCAAATTTTCTACAAGTAAAACATGTTCCGTTACATAAACCTTCAGAAGGATTGATATTCGGTAATAACGTTACATGATAGTTTATCTTAAGCTTCAATTCATGCAGTGGAATACCATTTGGAGTCAAAGTATTCAAGAAATCTTTTTGTAGGCTTTCTTCTGATTTGTCAATTGCTTGATCAAAGCTATAGTATGTGTAAATTTGACCAGAAATCTGGTCAAGTAAATTTCAATTAATATTATCAACACATTCATTTCTAGGCGTAAGAATTACTCGATTCTCCATGGCATGTAAATTATCAACATATGCTTCTATATTTGAAAAACATGACTTATTAAAGTTTTCAGAGATGTAATTTCATCCTTAAATGATACAATTATATTGTGTGGAAGCTGAATGCAGTTACAATTGTGTTCTAGTTCCGTTCTATTTTCAATTCCGAGCAAGTAATCACAAAATATAGGATCTAATTTCGCTCTCACATTCTCAACTAATGGTAGATGTGAATACAAAGGTCATAGGTTAGAGAAAACTAAGCTAGCTCTCATTATGTCTTTTTTTCTTCCTTTTGGTATCACCGGTAAAACTTGTCGAAAATCTCCTCCTAGAACTTCCACTTTTTCGCCGAAAGGCAAGTTACAATTAGTTATATCTCTAAACATTTTATCAACAACTTCAACAAAGTCCTAGAGCTGATTGCTTACTAACAGAACAACTAATTTCACCAACGATTTTCAAAGAAATTTTAAATCTTGAATGAGCTGTCCGATCGCCAAGTAAAAGAGATGCAGATACTCCAGAAGATACAGTAGCCAAAATAATTAAATTTTGAGACCTTATACGAGCTAGAAGCGCTTTATATAAAAAAGTTTTACTTGTTCCCCCTGGATCGTCAATGAAATAAACTCCATTTAATTTGGAATTTACTTTTTCTATATTTGTATCGTATGCAAATTTTTGCTCATTGTTTAAGCTTGTTGTACAAGCAAAGCCTCCTTCAATATCCAAGTTTGCTATCTCATCTGCCACTATTCTTCTCAACCTTTCATTTTCATCTATGCTTACATTGAATGACACTATCTTATAGTCATTTATGTTTTTATCCAATGGTTCTAAAATTGAACCTATGTCTTCTAAACCTTAAATTTATCCCACAAAAGCTTTGGACGATCAGGATTACAAAGTATAAGAAGCATAGCAAAAAAAGTCTTAAAGAAGTAGGCATTTCATAAACAACACTTCAGATAGACATTCTTCATAATGATTGTCTCCACATAACATCACATGTAAAAGTGATGCTTCTCGATATGTATTAATAGTTATTCCATTTGAAGTTCATAAATTATGAACGATGTTGGACCTCGAATATGACTGAGAAGAATGTGCAAGACTCGTTGTGACAATTCGTCTTATAACAGCATGTTTCTTTCTTGGAATCCAAATCTTCTTAGTTGGATTCCAAACAAATGTGCTGGAAAATCTTGATACAACAGTGTACGAGCAAATTCATCTATTTCATTTACTCGAAAAATTATTTCAACAATGTTCTTTTCGTATTTTCATTATCAATAATAGTAGATAAATCGTCATTGTCGTCATATCATACTTATTGATGATTTTCAATATGAAATTGTAAATAATAAACAGTTGGATAAATCTCTGCTAAATTGAACGAAAAAAAAAATCCTCCACATAGCTTTAGTTGGAGATATCCATCTAGCAAATTGATAAGTAGAGATTTCGTTGATTTTTTTCTCTATTTCATTTGTAGCAATTGAAAAATGAATACGATATTGTCCCTTGTACACATATTTATACAAATATTTTACAACTTTAATAGAAGAACATGTTTCAATATTAATGTGGTAGTCAAATTTAGCGTTCCAATAAGGATTATATGGTACAACCCATCGATTGTCTAACATTTAACCTCTAACTTTAATAGAAATATTGTTATCACGACGTTTATACAATGGATATGAGTTATTACCGAATATAGTAGTATTACAAAAATCCCTAGGATATTTATTTTTTCAACTTTTATTTGCTTCCATACATACATTTTTTGGATTAAGGTCTCAACAAGGGCCATGCATATTGTGTTTAACAATAACAGATTGAAGATAACGATATTCATTTTTCAAGAATTTCACATGAAACTATCTTATCAACATCTATGGCAAAACAAATTTTATGGCCATAGTTGAAGATCAACAATAGATGTGCATGAGGAAGCCATCTGTTTTGAAATTCAATAACATATATATGCGCAACAATAGTGCCAAAGATTTTTTTTCATATAAATCATTTTTTAACTCTACTAATTTTGCTTTAAATATACGTGTGATTAGATCTGGTCGATTTTGAATCTCATTTTTATGTATTAGTTCTTGCCTAATCTTTGTCCAATTTGGATCACATGTTATAGTCAAGAATATATCTGGTTTTTCATAACGTTGTTTAATAGCCATTGCATCCATATATTTCCTAAGCATATCTTTAGGCCCACATGTAAAGGACTACGGCAAAACAAATTTTCTTCCAATTTTGTATCCATTGTCTTTCCATTTTGAATGTTGTCTACAATACCTTGGTAAAGTTCAACTTGAATTTTGTTTTTGGTTGTTACAAAAATAGTGTAATCGTGCAATTTCAAACTTAACATACATATCTAAAACATACTGTTGAAATAATCTACCACTATGAAGCAAAAAATACATACTAGAATGCCTAAACTACAATTTATATGAATAGTATTCTTGACAAGAAACCTGAGACTTTTGCTTCATTCCTTTCAGCACTATAAAATGAAATGAAAATAAAATTCATCATTTGTTAACATTTACACTGCTAAACTTAGTAGAATGCACGATGAAACATTTTTCCAAACCTTGATTTTCATTTTCCATAAATTCAACTACAGAGGCAACTGCAGTTGGAAAAATAACTAATTTAGGCCAACGTTCAGGCTGAAAAAAGGTCTTTCTACACCTCTCAATGCCTTCATATCAACTAGATTCCCCATATAGAAAAAGTAACGGATCTTGTAAAGGATCATAACAACCGTAGTAATAATGAACTCTATATGAATCACCGGAATGACCGTATATAGTAATATCACGAACACGAACTCATACAGCAGCTACTTGAGACACTGTAGGTATATTGAAGACACTTTGATCAAGTCCTGGGTCACATCTTATGTGTATTCGATGGTCTTGCAAGTTAGTTGTATTACTTAAAAACTTAAAGAATCTACTATAAGGATTTACCTTTAGTATTTCAATTAGAACAGTCAAAGTACGTTGAACAAAGTTTTCTAAAATTTTCATACAATTTTGAAGTTCATCATCTGTATCATAAGATTATAATTACATATAAGAAAGCGTACTATTATGTGGGATAAGTTCATTTACGTAATGATATTCTTGTCCTTGAATCCTGAATGTGTAAATCACTCTATATGATTTGAAGAACTCTTTGTCGGTTTTGACACCAAATGAAATGAAAGCAAAATGATAATTATATCCCTTACAATCTTTTTAAATTCCATACATTTAGGCTCTTTGGAAGTGAACAAGTTGTATAGTTCAGTTGGTGAATCAGGTATACAGAGATGAACTTTTCCGTTAGAGCAACAGAAACCTTTACTTTCTCTATAAAATTTTCTTGCACCACAATATTTATAGCTATTTTATGTCGGTAATATATATGAAGTCGTTGATATGTTCAGTACATTAAAACTACTTCCTAATGCAAAATTGGAAATATCATGCGTCCCTTGGTTTGAAGT